GGCGGGATGGGGAGGGGTGACATAACTGGTGGGTTACAGTTAGGGATACTGCTAAACTTCTCACACTGCACAGGGCAGCCCCTACAACAGGCTCCCCCAGCCCCAAATAATAAGCCAAGGTAGAGAAACCCACATCTACGTGCGTATTGTCCTCCATGAGAATTCAAAGGTGGAAACAATGTGCTTAAGCTCACAGGTGTCTTGGGTATGTTAAGTGAGAAGATTCCAGATTCAGATGGCATTGGTTTGAATCCCAGCTCTGCCCCCTATCTTTGTGGTATCATTGTTTGTGTCTCCAAAGCTCAAAACACAAGCATTCTGGGCCAGGTGTGGTGGTGCACGCCTGAAATCCCAGCACTTGGGGGGCTGAGGCAGAGGAAAGCCAGGAGTTTGACGTCACCCTGGGCTACACAGTGAGCCCCTGTCTCAAAATCAAACCAAAAGCCCTCCAAGCATCTTTATCACCAGCAGTGCCAATTCCTAGCAGGGCACAGGCGCTCCGGGTCAGTGGGGACTGAGCCTGCTCCACCTCTTCCCCACAGGCCACAGACCCGTCCTGCCAGCTCTTCCTCCCTCTGCTTTCTCTCTCCCTTCTCCCTGCCGCCTCCACCACAGGCCTTCGGCCACCCCGCCGCCAGTCTCTTTCCAGGAGCTTCCGGCCGCCTGCTCGTCTGAGATGCAGCAGCCCACCCTGCCCTCAGCCCACAGCTCATGCCACCTGTTACTGTCATTTCCACAATCAGTGTCAGGCAGTGACACCTGAATTTCTATTTCTGTCTTGTCCTTTCAGCTCCAAACTCAACTCTCCAAACATGAGCTTCATGTTTCCCCTAGGACTCCAGCCCTGACGAGAATTGGTGTACATCAGTGTCCCCTACCACAAAGACCCTGTCACCATCCACTCTTCCAGTTGTTTGGCCCAAAACTTGGGCATTACTCCTGATTCCTATTTTTTGCTTTCCCTACTCCTACGTTCCCATCTCTCTACCTCCCTCCACTGTCCTTTTTTTTGAGACAGTTTCACTATGAAGTTCAGCCTGACCTTGAACCAGGCTGGCCAGGAACTCATGGCAATCCTCCTGCCTCAGCTGCCAAGTGCTGGGATTACAGGTGTGCGCCACCACGCCCAGCTTCCACTGTCCTATTCTGGTGCAACCCCTGTCATCTCTTCCCCTGATTCATCTCCCCTCTTGCCTGGATGGTCCATTCTCTCCAGAGTAGGCAGGGTGAGCTTTCTTCAATCTATAAACAGCTTTAGGAAGAGATAGTTGAATACACTACAGACGTGTGCCTGGCTTTCAGCGTACTGTATTTAGAGTTAGGCACACATGACAACACTCTAACCTTAGAACGTTTCTATCATCTCCAGAAAACACCTTCCACCCACTAACAGTCACTCCTCAGTCCTGTCCCTGTCCCCTCCCCTCCTGGTCTTGGCCACCACTAATCCAGTCTCTGATTATGCAGAGCCATCTTTTACAAATGCAGACTGTGAAACCCCACTCTCCTGCTTCAAATGCTTCCACAGCTTCCTGTGGTTCTAATGAATCACAGCAGCAGAGCCCTACATGGTCTGGACCCTCTCACTCCAGAAGAAGCACCGTCTTCTACTCCCAGCAACTTCCTGGCCGTTCCTAGAAAAGCTGAATCAGTTTCTTGCTGCCAGAGCTCCCCATAAGCCAAGCTGTTCATCTAAAATACTCGTCCCTTCCTCCCTGCACCTAATCAAGCCCTGCTCAGTCCGCCATACTAACTTGTCTCATAGGCATTTTGTACATCTCCTTGGCACCAATCACAGGCCAAGCCTGATGACTCGCCACCAGCGGAAGCTGGATCTTCTTACCAGGAAGGTGGGTAGGAGAAGCCCACCTTCCTCCTACCCATAAGGCTACCCTGCTGCACCTGTGCATCTTGTATGAAGATGTGCTAAGAACTGTGGAGGGTAGGCAGGGGGTGTAGCTCAGTGGCACAAGCGCCTTCCTGGCAAGTGCAAGGTTGTGAGTTTGATCCCTGATACTGAGAGGGAAAAAAAAGCTGTGCAGGGCATGCAAGAAACAAGACGGGCTATAAGCCGATCTTTGTCACCCAGTATGGCGGAGACATGGACTTATTACGACACTATTATTATTATTCCTGTGCATACTGGAAAATCTCTCAGTGGGTCCCAAGCACGTTTATTTTATTCTGGTGAATACAGGTTGTCTTTTTAGTCTGTCTCAGGCTGTAATCATACAGAACAAAGTCCCCATTTGCCCCCTTACTTCCCGGCCCCCCAGCTGGCCGCCCTAACTCCTGTCCTTCCCAATTCTGGGAGATCCAACTTGGCCCAGGTCGCTTCTCTCTCTTATTTGCAACAAGCTCTTACTATGAAGTCCAGCCTGACCTTGAGCTCCCTATGGAGCCCAGGCTGGCCTTGAACTCTCGGTAATCTTTCTGCCTCAGTCTCCCAAGTGCTGGGATTACAAACCTGGGCCACCAAACCCAGTTCCATGTCTTTTTTTTAAGTACCAAACTGTGTATAGTTTTCTGGTTAAACTATAACTAGTTTCACAGTAGAGAGAAGACAATGTTTACTTTAGTGTATTTCCTTCCTGGTTTCTGCTTCTATAAATAAATGTATCTATGCACTCATATTGCTGTAAGGCTTATATTGGCTATTTTGTCACTTTGTGTCCTGCTTTTTTACTTTAAAAGATGAGCATTTTTCCTATCTCATGTTCTGCACAGACACTTTAAGGTTACCTAGTACAGTATTCCATGATTGCAGTAACTCATGGATTATTGGGCATTTGGGTCACATCTGTTTTTTCCTCTTAGGGTAGGATACTGCTGTCATAAGTATCCATAGCATAATTCCCTCTTTATGTTTCTCAGTTTCTCTGACTATATTTCTGTCAGTGAAAATGCAAAATCACATTGTCCATGGATACAGTCTGGCCCTTGACATCTAATGCCTGCTCCCCGGTCCTTACTGGAAGCTCTTTCTTGCTGTGTCTGCTCACTTGTAGCTGAAGGGATCTTTGCTTCAGCTCTAAGAGGCTGTCCATGCCTTGGCATATAATAAAGCCCAGCACAAGACTGTATAGGCCTGAGGGGCATCAGAACCCCAGCTATTGGGCCCTCACCTCTTGTGTGGCTTCTGTGGATTAATCCCAGCACTCTCAGAAGCTGAGGCAGGAGCACTGAAAGTTTGAGCCCCACCTGGCCAATTTAGTGAGACCCCATCTGGGGGTCTAGCTCACTGGGAAAGCCCTAGTTTCAATCCCCAGTGTGGCTAACCACATACACACAAATGCACGTACAGACAAGAAGCCAGGAGTAACCGCAGCTCAGGAGCCACACAGTCCCCCAGGGCCCAGTACTCACGGTCTTCACTTCGGTGTACGCCTGCAGGCCATACTCGCCCAGCTCCCGGCCACTCCCAGACATCTTATAACCGCCAAAGGGGGACTGGGCCCCAAACACATCATAGCAGTTGACCCTATAATTGAAGTAAGAATGTCAAGATTGCTCTAGGAGATATGCATTCTGCCTCTCGGGCCCCTTACATGGCTCTCTACTGGAAAAAAATGTAAGGGACCAGTCAGTGTGACACTCAGCTGGGAAGGAGACCACAGCAAGCCACATGAGACAAACCTAAAGCCATCTCTGCCCTTTACGAAGTGGTCACAGGGGAATATCAGTAACAGTGCACCTTATGACACCTGATCTGAACTAACTAGGTGATGAGGTTTTTTTTTTTACAACATTAAAAAAGTATTCAATTTTTTTTTTTTTTTGGTACCATGGATTGAACTCATGACCTCACACTTGCCACGCAGGTGCTTATGCCACTGAGCTAAATCCCCAGCCCCTAAAAAGTATTCAACGTTAACTGAATTTAAAATTTATCTTTTTAAAGTATACAACTCAGGGCTTTATAGCACATTCACAAAGCTGTGCAACCATCACTAATGTCTTAATTCCACAACATTCCCGTTAGCCCACAGAGAAGCCCTGTGCCCCATAACGTCTCTCCCCATCTCCTTCCTCCAGCCCCTGCCACCGCTCGTCTGGCTTCTGTCCTCATGGATTTGCCTATTCTGGGTGTTCCGTAAACAGGGTCAGCCAGCTTGTGTCTCTCTGGTGTGTCTGGCTTCTATGGCTGAGCATCATCTTTTCACATGCATGCTTCGGCAGGGGTCTCGGTGGATTTCACTCCTTGTTACACCTCAATCACATCCCATCATGGACGGGCACCAAGTCTTCCACCTTCCTCCCCTCAGTCGAAGAGCACCTTCTGTTTAGCCGTTCATCCGTGAATGTTTCCACTGTTAATGAAACATGCTTCTGTGCCCATCTGCGTGCAAGCTTTTGTGTGAACGTGTTTTGCTTGTCTCGGGCACGCACCTAACAGTGGGCCTGGCGCGTCACACAGTGACTGTATGCCGAATTTCAGAGGAACTTTCAGACTGTTTTCCACAAGAGATTTCCCATTCCCACCGGCTGTATATGAGAATACCGATTTTTCTACTTCCTCACCAACTTTTCTGTTTTTTAAATTAAAACCATCCTAGTGTGTGTGAAGTAGGTACTAAGCTTTTCAGATCAGTATTGCAATGGTCAGTGGCCTCGGCACTGTCTCTGGTCCTTAGCCCATCTAGGAGAGGGGCTCAGTCATCCCCCTGTGTGCCCAGAAGAGCTGCAGGGAGGAGGGGGCTGGAAATCTCAGGCTACTTGCTGGCTATGGAGAAACTGAGCCCAGCACCCTCATTCTGAGGGTCCAGAAGATGCTGGCTTTGGGTAGTCTTCCCTGGGTTGGCAGGGGTGCTAGGGTGCTGCTCCTCTTACCACACGGTGCCGGCCTGGAGTGCTTGGGACAGATAGTTGGCCTTGTCCAGGTCCTTTGTGAAGACAGCTGCGGCCAGCCCGTACTTGGTATTGTTGGCTCTCCCGACGACCTCCTCAATGGTCTTGAACTTCAGGATCTGCATCACAGGCCCGAAGATCTGTGCGGAGAAAGCACAGCAGGAGGGAGGGACAGTGCCGAGTCCTGGCGATGCAGCTAAAAGCCTCAGAGAGAACCTACCAGCCCAGAGCGAGACGGGGCCTCCCAGACCGAACCACGAGGGGAGGAGGCTCACGGGCACCGCCCTCTTCCTTCTGGGCACACCGTGTTATCCCCAGCTCTTATTTCCAAACAGTCCTGTGAAGTGTGGGCTGTGTCACTGCATCCCAGGTGACAGGTGGATTTAGTGCTACACAATTTAAGCCAATTGGCCATCACATCTCATCTAAGTGAGAGGCACGGACCAGACACTGAAGAAAGGGCAGTGAATGAAAGGCTCTGCTCTCAGGAGGTCCCAGGCTTGTCCTGCACTTCCCGTGCCCTGTTCTGAATGGGCCATTTCTCCAAGGGCCTCTGCTCTTTTTCGTGGACAGTGATATTTAAAAGTCAAAACATCAGGTGCTAGGTGCACTTGCTGCTGCCGGGTGCCACCGCCCTGGGGTCCTCGCCGCTGGCAGGACCGACTGTAACTGATCATGAGGTACCCAAGCGGCCGTGTCGTGATCTCTGCACACAGTGCGAGTGTAGGAGCCGGAGGGCCCTAGCTGGGAGTTAGGAAGGGAGTTCAGGGTGTCAGAAAAGACCCCCAAAGTAACAGCCACCCATGATAAAATGGGAGCAGAACACCTGAACAGCGAGATGGTGAGAAGCAGACAGGAGGGAAACGGAGGCCCAGACACAAGCACACCCGATGTCCTTTCTCATAAATCCTGCTACCAGCTGAAAGGAGCTAGGGCCCTTGGAAACAAATGGCTGGTTCCAGCAAGGAAAAGGTCAGGACGGAGGTGGCAGGAGATGGCGAGGAACTGCCACAGTCAGATGAGAACTGTGAGCTGGGAGGTCACCTTCCGCGGGCACTCAGCACAGCACAGGCCCTGCCTTGCCAGGAAGCTGCCATCTGACACTGTAAAGAAAAGCACCACGATGGGGGAAAGTGCAGCACTCGGGTGGGCTTTACTGCCCTGGTTTTGCATTCCAGGATTATTTTCTTTGGACTTGTACACAAGAGAGGGCAGCACCATAGTTTCCCTATCTGGGGCCACTCCAGGGCTTAATCCAGCTGTGGGCAGTGAAGTCCTAGACCTCTCCTCTCTGGGGCTTCAGAGAGCCTGCCACACAGCAGGCTTTCATGTACTACGTGGGAAATTATGGTGGCTGAATTAGGCCAGAGAGCTGCTGCCCTGCGTTCACAGAGAGCTCCGAGAAGAGACTATCACGTGGGTATCATCAGGCAGAGACGCAGCCCTGGGGTCCTGCTTGTTTCAAGCCACAGGAGAGGCCACATATGTCATTCCTAGAAGAGTGGCTTACAGGGTCCAGAACACAAGGCCTGTGGTCTACACTAGGGAATTCAGGTGTCTGAGACAACCAATAGCCAAAAGATGCTGAAGAGGAGAAGGACAGCTGGGTGTGGGGGTGCACATCTGTAATCGCAGCACTTGGAGGCTGAGGCAGGAGGATTGCCAAGAGTTAGAAGCCAGCCTGACTACAGAGTGAGTTCAAGGCCAGTCTCAGACACATGAGCGCCTGTCTCAAAAAAAGAGAAGGCCATCACATACAAACTGTGAATGGCTGGTCCAAAGCCAGCAGATGGGTGCCAGGGTCAAGATGCAAGACCGTCACCTGCCCTCCTCTTCTTGGCTAAGAGGATGCCCCAGAGCACGGGCCCCAGCTGCTAACCTCTTCCTTTGCAATGGTCATGCCATCTTGCACATCGCCGAACACGGTGGGCTGGATGAAATAGCCACGGTCAGCAGCGGCCCCTCCACCACACAGTAGCTTCGCCCCCTCTTCCTTCCCAGATTTGATGTAGCCAAGGATCTTCTTGAACTGAGTTTCATCCACCTGCAGAAGGAGTCCAGAACATCGGAGATGTGAGATTCAGGCTTCCAGGCGAGCACCATGCAGGCCACAAGGAAACCGCGAAATGGGCCAGTCTTGAATTTGACAAGCAAGGTCAGGAGAAGCAATTCAGAAGGGCTCAAGGAACATAAAATACAAGAAAGGTTCAACTGCATTAGCCACTAATAAATGCATATCAAACCCACAGTTTTAATTTTTTTAAGCCGGGCGTGGTGGCTCACACCTGTAATCCCAGCCCTCAGGCGGCTGAGGTGGGAGGATCGTTCCAAGTTCGAGAACAGCCTGGGCTACAAAGTGAGCTCAAGGCCAGCCTGAACTGCACAGCGAGACACCCCCCCCCCCCCCCGTCTCAAAAAAGAAAAAAATTTTTTTTAAATAAGAAGAAAATATAGCTGGGTGTGGTGGCACACACCTATAATCCCAGCACTTGGAAGGCAGGAGGATGCTGCGAGTTCAAAGCCAGCCTGAACCGAACAGTAAAACCTTGTCTCACAAAAAGGAGAGGGGGGGAGGGAGGAGGAGGAGGAGGGGAAGGGGGAGGGGGAGGGGGGGGAGGAGGGGGGGAGGGAGGAGGAGGAGGAGGGGAAGGGGGAGGGGGAGGGGGGGAGGAGGGGGGGAGGGAGGAGGAGGAGGAGGGGAAGGGGGAGGGGGAGGGGGGGGAGGAGGGGGGGAGGGGGAGAATAAAAAGAAAAATAAAATAATAATAATACAGAGGGAGGGACAAATTTGGAGTGACTATTAATAGGTGGGTACAGGATTTATTTAGAGGCTGATAAATATATTTTGGAGTTAGTAGTGACAGTTGCTCAGCTCTGAATACAGTAAACACCAATGATTCATGCACTTCAAACGTTGAGTTGTATGGTATGTGAGTTGTATCTCCGTATGGCTGTTAAGAGAGAGGGCACACCCTGAAACCCCAGCACTCTGGGAGTCTGGGCAATTTAGGGACTTAATGAGATCCTGTCTCAAAATAAATAAAAGGGGCTGGGGCCAAGGGACTCAGTGTAAAAGCCCTGGGTTCAAATTCCAGTACCACAAATAAAAAGGGGGTGAGAAATTAGGCCCATAACCTTGTCCCATGGGGAGGCCAACACCCCAGCCAGGTCTGTGCTCCCCTAGTGGGATCCACTAAATCTCAATAATGTGGGAAGCAGACAGCAGTGGGGTCTCGTGCTGAGCCAGTACATGGCGCAATGAGCCTTGAACCCTGCGGCACCCACGTTCAAACTAGACCCCTGTTCTGCTTTCCACACTGGCTCCAGACACCCTGGCCCATGCTGTAGCTGCCCGGCATACCTGCGGCCCCTGCTCGGTCCGGCTGTCAAACGGGTTCCCAACTACCCGAGCCTTGGCCCGGGCAATGCTCCGCTCCACAAACTCCTCATAAACACTCTCCTGCACGAAGGTCCGGGAGCCAGCACAACAGCACTGGCCCTGGTTGAAAAACAGGGCGAAGTGGGCCTGCTCCACAGCCCAGTCCACTGTGGGTAGGGATAGGAACAGAAAAGCAACCATGAGAAGAGGCGGAGACCCTGGCCTGGGCACTGCCCACCCACGTGGGGATTCATGCCACCATCAGGGATGGTGCCTGCAGGCTGCTAGAACCTAGGCCGGAGGAAGTCAACAACATCTCTTCCTCCTGGAGCCTGGGCTCCGGGTGGAGGGACAGACAGCCAGAGCAGTACGTGTTCCTCTGGGAGGAAAGTCCACTCTGCACGGGACCAAAGAAAGGAGAGGATGACAGCAGAGCAGCCTACAGCAAGTAAGGCACAGTGGCCTGGCCTAGCAGAGGGAGCAGGGATGGGGGGGCGAGGCTGCGGCCAGACCCCAAGGCCCACCCCGCTGGAGGCCAAGGACTGCAGGGGTGGGTGAGACCAGGGAAAGCCCGTGGAACTTACTATCGGCATCTGACATGATGATGTTGGGGCTCTTTCCTCCCAGCTCCAGGGTCACCCTCTTGAGGTTGCTGCTCCCTGCAGCCACCTGGATCAGGTGGCCAACCTGTGAGGGTGCAGAGACAAGCTCTTAGCAGAGGAAGAAAGAGCCAGATGCCGTACAGAGACGCAGAACGCGGGACCCCCGACATGCAACGGATACGAGGGTCCCAGAGAATTCACTCCCTGTCTGCCGCAAGCTCCTGGACCAGTGACAGGGAGCCCTCTAGAGCTTTCTGTGGCACTAACGGTCCCTGGTGGCACATGTGCCGTAGGATTGTCACCACTGTCCTGCATACTGAGTGCCTCATGCACAGTGGGCCTTGTGCCAAATGCTGTGTGTGCATTAAACCCAGCCCTTGCGATGACAGAGACGAGGGTCACTCTTCCCCCTTGATTTAGAAACAGGAGCTGAGGCACAGAGTGGCCAAGTCACAGGCCCACGGTCACACAGCTGGTCAATTTGGGGTCAGGACTTGCTCAGATTCAGATCTGCCCCCGGCCTCCTTCATGGTATGCACAGCATCGTGCCCAGCACGCTGTGAGCTCTGTGAGGGCAGAGACTGTGCTTCTCACCACCATCCTCCCCAAGCCTGGCCCAAAGCCACCTGGGCACATTTCTGGAGTGAATACAAATATCCCCCTTGGGGAACCAGCGACTCTGTGAGACTCCCAATGTCATCTCTCAGCTTTAAATTAGGAGGTGACCAAGCAAAAAGGGGATCCTTAACACCATCACTATGCACAAGCTACATGTGTGACAGTGTTTGTGCCAGGAATTGCTTGAAAGTCACAGTCATTACACTATTCTCTGTCCCTCTCGGATCCATCAATAGAGACATGCAAGACAAGCTTATCTCTGGAAGGAATTCTGTTCCTGCTCTCAAGGAGATTGTGTGCTGCTCCTGAGGTGGCCAAGGTGCTCTGGCTCCCACTCCAAGATCCGTGAAGTCAGCCAGTCTGGCTTCCCTAGTCCACGTGAGATGCCAGTCCCCAACCCACAGTAGTAGCCAGAGTGGCAGTGAGGCTACACAGGACCAGCCCTGCTCCCGCCCTCCTGACACACACAGGGCCCTCGCTCAAGCTGCTCAGGGTCCAGTCCCGGGAGAACCCAACACCCAACACCCAGGCGCTCTTGACTTAGCAGCCCTGAGGGCAGCAGGAGTTTGAGCCACCACACCACAAGCACGGGGCCTGGACAGCTTACCTCAGTGGACCCAGTGAATGCTACCTTGTCCACGTCCTCATGGGAGGCGATGGCAGCCCCAGCCGTGGGGCCATATCCAGGAACAATGTTGACCACACCAGGAGGGAAGCCAGCCTGCAGGCAAGAGCCAGGGGAGACTGAGCCAGTGTCCTGCTCCAAGGGCCTGGACAGGGACGACACACTCCTTCCCAGACACCAAGAGCATGCATGGGGACACAGGAGAGCAGACACCAGCTTTCACGGCCATGGAATTCAAAACGCTTTACACAAGGAGCCTGTCTGTGGGGGTCCCTGTGGATACTTCACAGTTCACTTAGAGCAATGGTTTTCTCTTTTTCTTTTGTTTTCTTTTTCTTTCTTTCTTTCCTGAAGATTGAACCCAAGGTTTCACCCTGAGCTACATCCTGTGCTCTTTTGTCATTTTTTATTTTCAGACACACTTGCTAAGTCTCTAAATTACCTTGGCTGTACCTAAACTTGCAGTCCTCTACCTCAGTCTCCCAGAATGCCAAGATTACGAGTGTGTACCACCACGCCTGGCTCAGTGGTTTTTCTTCTTCAAAGAGGATCTTGCCACGAAGTTCAGTGTGGAAAAAGTAAGCAGGGAGTAGCTTAACATGGTTTTGGTGGGGTTCTGCAAATACTCGTATTTTGAGGCCCTGGACACCCCTCCGCAGAGCTCCTCCAGAACAGGCCGTGCAAGGCATTTAGAGGTCAGAATCAAGCAACGCACCTCCTTGATTAGATTGGCCACATAGAGTGCGGTGAGAGGTGTCTGCTCAGCAACCTTCATCACAACCACGTTTCCAGTCGCCAAGGCCGGGCCCAGTTTCCATGCTTGCATCAGGAGGGGGAAGTTCCACTGCACAAAACAACCCCGGTCAGAGGCAGCGAGTCCCTGAACCCCAGGTGTCCCCCAGCCTAGGTCCCAGGACTAAGCACATGGATGAGGCCGGTGGTCCGTGATGACGACCGTGACCCATATTCATCTGTGCTCTCGAGTGCTAGGTGCTGTGCTAATCTGAAGAAGGCACTCGTTACCGCTTTTTGGATGAGGAAACAGAGGTTCAGGGGCGTAAGTGACTCACTCCAGGTCCTACATTCACAGATGGCAGAGCTCAGACTGGAAGGAACCCAGGCTGGTTTGGGCTGTTCTCAGCCACCAGCTGGCCGCATTCCTACGCCCCCTGCAGACCCTTTCCCTTTGCCATGAGCCCTGTGGACACTGTTGAATCTCAGCCCACCCCCTGGGTGACCTCTGGAGAGTGGCACTCACCGGGATGATCTGCCCACACACCCCCACAGGCTCGTGGCGGGTGTAGCTGAAGAAGTCTCCATCAATTGGAATGGTTTTCCCATGGTACTTATCTGCCCAGCCGGCATAATACCTTTAAAAGAAGAAAACCCAAGCTTTAGTCCATGTCAGAGTCCCTTGAAATCTCTGGCGAAAGGGGAGACTCAAACTGATCCAGTCGGGTCTTCCTGATGCCCATCCTCACTGCTGGTTTACTCCCTAAGAGACACAGCAGTCGTCAAGCTTACTCCCTGAGAGACACCGCTGAACGACTGGTAGGGCCCCACAAGCCACTGTGTGTAGCCTAGAAGCTTCAGAATTACCTTGGGTACTTGTAAAAAGCACCAATTCCATGGGCCCCCTGGCCACCTACTCTGTTCAGCTACCTCAGGAATCAGATGTCTGCCTGTTTTTCAGTGCTAGGAATTGAAGCCAAAACTTCTGCACTGAGCTCCGTCCCCAGCTCTTTTTTAAAAAATTATTTCTACTGAGACACTTCACTGCCCAGGTTGGGCTCAAACTTGCAGTCTTCCTGCCTCAGTCTCCTAGAGTGCTGGGAATACAGGCATGAGCCACCATGCCTGGCTCAGAAAGAGTTTGTTTTATTTTGGAGACAGCGTCTTGCTATGTAGTTCAGGCTGGCCTTGAACTCATTATGTAGCTCAGGCCTCAAATTTGTGGGATTACAGGATGTGCCATCCATCATACCTGGCTTCAGAAAGGGTTTTTAATCGGCACAAATAAATAATGTTAAATCTCAGGAAGGAGCATGGCTACACTCAAGATTCACCAGGCTGCTCTGAGGCGCCTTTGTAGTGAGTCTCTGTCTCCGCACCACTGACATTGAAGGCTTGAAAATTCTGTGTTGTGGGAAGTACCCTTCTAGGGATAGTTAGCAGCACCCCTGGCCTCTCCCCACTAGAGGTCAGTAGCATCGCTCCCTTGCAGTGTGGCAATCAAAAATGTCTCTGGAATGGCCACTGTGCCGGGAGATGTGACAGCCCTAGCTGAGCACTCCCGAAGGGAAGGGTAGGTCCTCCGTTTTCAGCACTGTGCTCTCCTCCGCACCTTGTCCACAGGTGATGGGCAGCAGCCAATGTTTGCACAATGTCCAGTCCACCCTGCACACAGCTAGTCAGATTGGGAGACAGCCAATCATGGTACCGCCCCTGCAGGCCTTGGACTTAGGACTAAGAATTACAGCTTGGTAAACAGCATGAGCAGCCAGGTCCCAGAACAAAGACGGTCCGGGGAAAAGCCACATACAGAAGAGGAGAAGTGAAGCAAGGGGGCAGGGTCAGCGACACTCAAAGGCCCTTTTGGATTGAGACCCATGGACGCTCTACTGTCTGTGCCGGACCAAGTTTCTGTCATTTGCAACCCCACAGGCTCTAATAAAGCTTCTATTCTTGGCCACTGAAATATTTATGATTAGCCTGGCATGGTGGTGCATGCCTGTGCTCCTAGCACCTGGGAGGCTGAGGCAGGAAGATCACCGCGAGTCTGAGGCCAGCCTGGGCTACACGGTGAGTTCAAGGCGGCCTAAAGTACACAGCAAGACCATCTCAAAAAACCAAGAAATGAAAAAAGACGTTTATGATTAAACTAAACCCACAGCTAGCCAGAGGAAGGAAATGATAAAAACAAGAGCAGGGAACTGAAGAGAGAGAGAACAGAAAGAATAAAACAGCTGACAAGACTCTAGCTGGACTAAAACAGAGAAGATGAAAGAGCCCACGTCAGAAGTGGAAAGTGGAGACACTTATCAACCCTCCAGAGATAGAAAAGGACTGTAAGAGAAGACGATGAACTACCGCAGACCAGCAAATTATGTAACCCGGATAACACAGGTAAGCTACACCTGAATAAGGTATAGAGTACGGAAAGTGGCTCAGGAAGAAAGAGAAGGCACTTGTGACGGAGTTACAGCTGTTGACACTGGGATTTTCTCTCGGGACGGAGTACATGGAGCCTCCGTCCCCAATTCCTATGATCCTTTCACACTTCTGTAATCCTGCTTCTACCTCACAACACTGTTCCCTCCCGTTCTGGTGCAGCTACAACAAAGAACAAGAAACCCCAGCCCATACCGGATGCATTTCAAGACCATGTCCAAGTCCACCAGGTAGGAGATGACATAGGGCTTGCCATTGTCCAGGGTCTCCAAAGCCTGAGGAGAGAGATCGAGGTCAGCAAAGACGTTGACGCAGGAGCAACCTGCAGCAGATGGGCTGAGGGAGGCCGTGGAGGCCCGGACCGACACGGGCTGGGGAAGCCAAGCATGAGCCCCTCCTTTGGGGCACTGAATGTCAAGGGCATTTCGGAACCGTAGCCCCAGCCTCTCCCAAGGCAGAGGGAAGGTGGGAAGGGACAGGCGGGATGAGACACCATCTTCTCACTTCGAAGACGTATTTTTCCAGTTTCCACCCTTTGCCAGATCCAGGTGCCAGGAGTACAGAAACAAGCATGGAGCTTACAGAGCAAAGAGACAGTGAATAATGATGAAAATTTTCCATGACACCTGTTAGGAATCCACTACACATGATGAAAATGTTAGAGAGAGGAGACCAGACTGCCCCGCTCAGTCTTAGAAACACCAGCCTAAGATCAAATCTGAAGGATGTGTAGGAGGCATCAGATACACATGGCAATGAAATACAGGGCACCCGGGAACAGTGTGTGCAAAGGCCCTGGTGCTCAAAGAGGCTGTCAAGAACTCAAGGGAAGGCTGGTGAACAGGGCTGCGTGTGTAAGGGCCACAGCCTAGCAGGACTTGGGTGAGGGAGCCAGACCAGCAGGGTCTGGTAGAGGCCGTGTAAGGCCTAAATTGCCTTCTGAAAAGTTTACTCTGCCTGTTGTGTCCAGAACAATCTGGAGGGGGAAGGGACTGCCTCTTGGTTTCTTTCCCCTCTGGTGGCCAAGGAGAGGGCCCATGATGCAGATGGGCCCAAGGAAATGAGATCATCTCTAAGGGTCACTCCCAGGAAAGCCTCTCCAAGACAGCTCCTCTCTCCCCTCAGTCTCCTTTCTTAGCCAAACCCACTGCATCACTGAGAGGCTCTTCTTGCCACCGCTCTGTGGGGTGCAGGGGTGTGGTGCAACGGTAACCATCCTGTGCCACTCTGATCAGTTAGGTGCCAGCAGTGTGGCCCCTGGCTGTGCGTAGGATGCTGTGAGCCCCCTGGCCACATGGAAAGGGAGGGTGACAGGGCTGAGGACCCACCGCCAGGTAGGTCCGGTCCCGCTCGATGAGATCTGCCAGGCGGTTTAGCAGCCGGCCCCTCTCGGACGCGTCCATGCGGCGCCAGGGCGAGCCCAGCTGGAAGGCGGCCCGGGCGGCCTTCACGGCCTTGTCCACATCTTCCTGCAAAACACACACGGGCTTTCTCAGCACAAGCACCTCCAAATACTGCCAGTCCAGTGGGAAGAAAAATACCCTCACACAGTCCTTCCCAGCCCCAGGGACTGGTGTGACCAGCGCTAGGCTTCAGTGGCAGGGCCGCGTCCTGCACCTCCCTTTTCCACTCCTCACCAGGAGCCACGGTGGGAAGAAGAATCCTGGCCACTTCTACCTGGATATTTTCACCTCAGAAACCCCCAAAGCAGGGGAAATGTCGCTCAGGGTTTTAGAAGGAGAAGCAGCCAGAGGTCAGCAGTGAAACTGACCACTTTTCCCCACTTTCTAAGAAAACAAGCCCAGAAAAAGGAACCGCTGCCTCAAAGATGACTGGCATTCTCCAGAAAAATGCAGGCTTAATCAGTTTCCCTCTCCTTGGAGAAGCGGTAAAACCCTACTGTCTCTCCCACAGGGAGACGGGAGACGGGGGCAGGGAACAGAGTTTTCATTTTACATTAAACACATCTACCATACAGGTTTTTCCTATAAACAAGAAAAATATTCACATTTGCTTTCAGCAAAAAAGGCAAGGCTTGTGCATGAATGTAGAGCCTTGTCTTAAGGTAGAGGGCAGGAAGCATTCCTGAGCTATTTTTAATGTTTTTTCTATTGAAAACATTTTTACTAAAAGTCTAATTTTTGAGCTGGGCATGGTGGTGCATGCCTATAATCCCGGCACTCAGGAGGCTGAGGCAGGAGCATCACTGCAAGTTTGAGACCAGCCCAGGCCACAAAGTGAGCTCAAGGCCAGCCTGAACTGCACAGAGAAACCCTGTCTCAAAAAGATAAAAAAAAAAGGAGCTGGGGATTTAGCTCAGCGGCATAAGTACCTGCCTTGCAAGCAGGCAGTCATGAGTTTGATCCCCGGTATTGATAAAAAGAAAAGAGACCCCCCCCCCCCAATTTTTTTTTTCTGGTTTTTGGTTTTTTGTTGGTACTGGGGATCAAACAAATGACCTCGCACTTGCCAGGCAGGTGCTTATGCCACTGAGCTAAATCCCCAGCCCCAAGAGTCTAATTTTGTGTTTGTTTTTTTGTTACCAGGGATCGAACTCACAACCTCAAGTTTGCCAAACAGGCACTTATGCCACTGAGCTAAACCCCCGGCCCCATGACTTTTTTAAGTTTTGAAAATACTGCTACTTTTTTTTTTAGTTCCTATCATATATAACTTAAGCCGACACCACAGCCATCTCTCTGGAGACCCAAATTCTACCCAACATGATTCTGCCCAGCTGTGTACCCCGCTTCTTTCACCTTCAGCTTCCAAGTCTGGAATAAGATGTCCCCCTGATGCACGTCCCGGACTACAGCTCCACATTATATGGATTACTGAGCCACCACATTCTAGCATCTGTCTGTAGCTAACTACTTCTGTTGATTCACTCACTCGAAAATTTTAATTGACTTTTTGGTATGTTTTGACAAAAACATACCAAATGTTAAAAATTAATGCAGCCCTACCCTGAGGTCAGGCAGCAGTTCTTACCTTGTTCCCTTCCGCTACCTGACAGATGACCTCCCCTGTGGAAGGGTTGACCGTGGGGAATGTTTTCTTGCTGACTGCATCGTGCCATTCATTGTTTATGAAGATCTACAATGAGAAAGAGATACATATTCAGGACCAGCCTGCCACCCATTAATGATCACCAGCAATGTTAAAAAAAAAAAAATCAGAAACAAGTAAGAAACATGAGTGAATTTCCAAGTGCTGTGGCCTCAGGGTTAGAAGCACAAGCCCTGGAGACCATTGAAATGCTCACACTGCCAAGTGACCTTGGGTAAGTCATCTGACCTTACAGTACCTTGTTCTCTTTGCAAAATGAAGAGAATGTTCCTAATATTCTAGTTACAAATGTAACAAATGATAAAAGTCAGCGATGGAAGCTTATTTTAGAATTGCACCCTTGACTGAGCTCAGCAGGACAGGGCTCTTGCTGGCAGCTGCAGCCCAAGGGCAGCTGGGCATCTGGCTGGATGTGCAGGGTGGCGCTCTACCCCACTCATCTGGCGCCGCCTGGCTGCTCTGGCTTCCTGGCTGCCTGGTGGGCTCAGGGGGTCCCCACTTCCATATGACAGCTGGCCTCCCCTGCGTGTTCTCAGAGACCCAGACAGAAGCTGATTGGCTTCCTAAGGTCCAGCTTCCGAAGTTGCATGGCTTCATTTCTGTCACCAAATTGTGTTGGCTACAGAGAGTCACAGGCCAAGTGTGGATTCACAGCAGGGAAGAGCGCGACCCCTTCTCTCTGGAAGCAGCAGCAAAGCCCTCGTGGCCATCCTTACTGTACTACACCAACATCTGAGGTCGTGGGGAACTGGCTTAGGTTATTCTTTTTGGCGGGGAGAAGGTGCTGGTTTTTGTGACAGGGTTTCGCTATAGTTCAGGCTGGTTTTGAACTCACTATGTAGCCCAGGCCAGCCTTGAACTTGCAGCAATCCTCCTGCCTCAGCCTCCTGAGTGCTGAGATTACAGGCATGTGTCCCTTCGCCCCGCTAAATTACGCTGTTCTTTCATCCACTTGACAACTAAGTCAGTACCTCCCACAGGCAGGCACTGTTCAAGGGCTAAGGGCACAGTGGACACAACCCACAAAGACTCCTGGGGTGCCTCTGGAAGGTCATCATAGCTGACTTGCTGTAGGAGGTGTGGCCTGACTCAAAGTGGCTGGCAATGGGGGAGGCCTGGTCTGGACAGGTTTATCTCCCTCCCCAACGCCTCCCTCACTCTCTGCTTCCTGGCCGCCACGAAGTAAGCAACCTTCCTCCACCAGACCCTGCTAGGCCGCTCTGCCCCGGAGCCAGTGGACTGCAGTCTGAAACCTCTAGAGTCCCTCAGCCAAATAAACCTCTCCGTTAAGTTGTGGGTATCAGGTGTTTCGTCTCAGCACCAAGAAAAGCAACTAAGACGTGCTGCTGTTCCAGCAGGCACGGACACAGCAGTCAGATACACAGGCAGCCTCAGACTGAAGAGATCAATGTGAAGGAGAAAAGCCGGGCCCAGAGCCGGTGACTCAGTGATGGACAGAATCCTAGCCGGGATGGCTGGTGAGGGCCTCCCTGAGGAGATCTCTGCCTCGAGTGATGGAAAGGAGTCGCCACACAGACAGGGGAGGAGTAGTGCGGGCCATGGCAACAGCAAATCAAAGGTCCTGAGGCAGGAATGGATTTGACACAAGGAAAGGCAGCCAGGGTTACTGGTGAGCCAGGAAGGAACCGGAGATCACTCAGAGAGGACGGTAGGTCTGGGACCCTCTGGCTCCAATTTGGCCCAGGCCACCACGTTTGTGGCTGTTGCACTAAGCCACGTCTGGGGAAGACCTCACTGGTCAGGCGACTCAGCGGAACAGTCCCTATCAAAGCCGTTGCTCACTGAATACCAGGGTTGCCCTGCTCCCTAGTAGCTGGGCAATGGTCTGAGGGGAGCACAGAGATCTCCCAGCCTACTGCTGGGAGAGCACTGCTCAGAGAGCCCTGGGCTCTCCTTCAGGCTTGGGATGAGACACCAGTCTCAGGGAAGGGCCCACAGTCATTCTGCCAAGCAAAGTGCCAATCTCAAGCAGTCTCTTTGGCCTGAGTGCTTCTGAGCCTGAGATCCCAGGGAGTCATCTTCAGCAACCCTGGCCCAGTCTGTGTCTTTACTAAGACCAAGCCACCAAACAGGGCTTGGAGCTTGGTTCCCACTCGGGCTCAGGGACAGTGGCCAGTCTCAGGGCAAGAACAGAGGTTCAAGGGAAGAATCCGGATGAACGGGACTCTCCTGCTCCTAGTCTGTCACAGGGGGCAAGGCCTTCCTCTCTCCTCTCTCCTCGTCCCGGAGGGGCCCCGGAGTATTCCCTTCCCAGAGCGGTATCTTCAGCTCCAAGGGCTTGCTCCCAGCCTAGACAATGCTGTGCCAGTGACAGAACAGTGACAGGACGGAGTGGTCGGTCAGGGAAGGGACTGCTGAACCTTGGCCTTTCTACCCAGTCCGTGAGCCACCATGGCAGCATGATTCACAGCGGAGCACAGTACAAGGTTCCTGGCATCCAGCAGGAGAGCTGGGTAGATGCTATGCAGATGCTTGGGACTATGTTTGTGCGGTCTCGTTTGAGTCATTCGATTATTAATCTTCAGAGAAGTAACACCTGACTTCTTTCCCACACGACTGGTGGAGTCCAGCAGCACACTGGGTGTGGCAAGACAGACTCAAGTTCAAAGCTAGGCCAACCACTGGCCTTTGGCACCAGCCACCCTGGTCTGTGGCCAATGCCTGGGTGGAGCCACGGGCTCACATGCTCAGTTCCTCTGGGGACTGCAGTGGGGAAGCAAACGGCAGGGCTCGGGGATCTGAGTGGCAGGCAGAGGAGGGTCTGGTGTGGCTGCTGGCTGGGCTGCTTCTACCTTCTCCACAGTGCACTCACGGCTCCCAGACACCAGCAGCTGCTGCTCAGCAAAGCACTGGAGCAGTGGCCCGGGGACAGGGGGCCCAGGAGAGCATCCATCCACTCAGCCACCCGTAACCCAAGCTGCTCACTCTGTGGCAAACCTGTCCTGCGAGTTCTGCGTGCCTGAATCCATTCCTTTTCAACCTCACAGCAAACCTAGAAAGTAACTTTCATCCTCTTGACTTCGTAGAGGGAGAGACTGGGGCACAGAAGAAGTCAGTCACTTGTTCAGGGTCACACAGCAGTGATCTGAAAGCAGGCTCTGGGACTTTCCTGCTTCCAATGGCAGCCTCCCATTGTAGTTCAGGTCTGCTTTTGAGAAAGCTAGCACTCTCGTACTCAAATCTCCTATCAATGGTTTATTATCATCACACCCCACTTTTATGTCATATGTCATTAAAAGCACCAATCTCCAAACCAGACAGACTGCTGCCACTTACACACCACGCCAGACCCTGTGGCTCTCAGGCTCAGGATACTTAGGAGCCACAGGCGGTCTGCCCACTCTGTGTTGCTCCCCGCTCAACAGCTAAACTGGTTTGTTCTGAAAATGTCTGCATTATTTGGCAAACACTAGACAGGAAGAGGAGGCCCTGCCTGGCTCAAAATCCACCGGCCCCGCCCCTTCCCCCTGATTATGGCTCTGAACGGTCATTCCCTGGCCAAGTGCTTTCCAAGTCCTGAATCTGCTGCGTCATTCTTCACAGGCAAAACAGCTTCAATTTTCAGCAATCCGCCCTCCACGGACTGCCCAGCAGGTAGAGATTTGAGAGACTGGAGATCTCAGCTTAAAGACTCAGTGGTCTCCATCTTGGCAAAGGGCTGGGCAGAAACTTTCCGCACACTGAGCTGCCACAGCTGTGCTTCCAGCAGCTAGCCTTCAAAAAGCATAAGGTCCAACACCAGGCCAAAAGCTTTAAACAACTGCCTGATCCCAAGCCAAGCCTGACTTATATAACACCCTAAATTCAGTTAGCTCTGGTGTATGAGTGGATGTGTGGGTGCCCCCAGCTCACACTTTCTCTTTCTGGTTTCTAGAACAGAGCCAGGTCAACAATTGCCATTTGCAATCTGGGGCCATAGGTAAAATGCATAAAATGTTTCCATCAAGATCCTAATTCCCAGGCAGGAGGTGCGGAGGTTAGCTCAGTGGCACAAGCACCTTCCTAGCAAGCTTGAAGTCAGGAGTTCAATTTACAGTAACACCCCCCCCCCAAAATCCTCTAACTTCTATGCATTTTCATAAATATTTCCCACATCACACTGCAAAGGCTGGACTCTCTCCCCATGTGTTTCATAAACCTTATCTGGGTGCCACTGCCGTGCCAGGCATGGGCTAAAATGGCCAAGTCCTGGCTCCCGGGAGCTAAGAGGAGGGACACAGTAAACATGCAAACACAGGAGTGGGGGACACAGGCGCTGGAGCCAGGGAGGGTCGGGCTCACAGACAGGCCCAGGGCTCAGATGGTGCCTTTAAGTTAAGGGGACCTGCAGGCAACAGCAGGAAGTGCCGGGGACAGGAAGGAACCACAGGCTGTGGTGTGTGGTAAGGAGAGCGCCCCTGGCCCTCGATTCCACTTGCTCTGGGCCAGGATCTGCACTTGGGGCCTGCAGAACTCGCTTTCCCAGGGTCAGTTACTTTACACTCCACTCCCTAGGCACAGCCTCAGTACTAAGGAACAGATCCCTCGGCACCCACGGCTCAGTTTGCTCAACCACTTCTCTGGCTGCACTCCAGAACAAGTGCTCCCTATCCCGGAGATGCTGCTGTAGCCGGTGCCCTTTATGTGCATGTTTGCACACCTGGGGCAGATATCCGTGTAAAAATCAGAATTGCTGAGTCCATGGATACCATGATCCTCTGCTTTCTGGTGTATCTTGTTTCTCAGGTCCAGCAGATTACAGATTACAAACTGGAAATGGACGCCGGGGACAGTGGCAGTGGTCCTGGTACAACGGAAAATTAAAATTTTAAATTATGCTCAGCAGCTCTGATTTAAGGAGGCAGAACACCTTCTTGAAAGATTTCAGTGCAAGCTTTGATACAGGAAAGAATTAGGGATGTGACCTGAGAAATCCGTGCTCCTGAGTAGCTCGCTTTCCCTAGGTGGGCAAAAGAAGTGGCTTTCCAGTATGAGGTGCTACTTGATGACATTTGTTCTTTAAGTAA